CCAAAACTTTTTTTTTTTTTAATTTAACGTTTGTTTATCATTTTATGCTTTCTGTGCGCATATGTTCTGTATTTAAATTAATGAATCATCACACACAAAAAAAAAATATTTATATCGTGCTCAGCACGATCAAAAGGCAGTTGTCTTAGGAGCAAAACGATGCGTTGAGTTTTATTTCTACCTTCGACTTTGCCAGTTATCAGAAGGCGAAAGCTATAGTCGGTTGCAAGCTAAGAAAAAACCGGAAATGCCTCTAAGAGGAAAATGTAACCCTACGCCGAGAAACGCCAGCCAATCGTTTTCATGACGTCACGATTCCGTAAACCAATCGCGATCCTTTTGAAAAAAAAAAAAAAAAAAAAAAAAAAAAGCTCAACATGGCTGTTGGCCTTAGCAACGCGACGCTAGTTTCTCGTGACAATTATTCTGCTTTTTTGCACCGTGTTTTACGTGCCCGAGGTTACGCCACGAAATCTTAATGGTATCGGCTTGCGTTTGCAGCAGTTTTTGCGCGACAACGTGAGAATCCAGCGACGCTATCGCCAACGAAAATTTCGAAGCGGGCGCGAGGCTTAGCACTGCTGAGAGGTATGTTAGACGGTATGTTAGACAGTATCTTGGACAGAAAATGAATTGGGAAGACGGTACATTGGACATGACTTTCTTTCTTTACTAAACAGCTATTTTGTTGACAAAAACGTATTCTAACTTATTTAAATGTCTTGAATGAATTAAATAAATATTGTAGTAGTTTAAGACACGTTTCCTGGAGGAAGAAAAAGCAACGTTGCTAGCGAACTATTTTCTCGACGGCGGAGGCACTTCAGATGGGCGCAATGCGCTTGTGGGTGTAGCTAAAAGATTGTTCTCAGGTTGCATCCGACTATTGAAACAAAAACTGGGAAAGTAATGTCATATTGAGAGAGAATGAGATCGCGAAATAAAAAAAACAAGAACAAGATATGCAGCTTTCGCAACAAAAAAACACTGATTTGTTTTTGTTTTAGTATGAAAGGATTTTCAATAAAAAAATTTTTAAAAATTGCGGTAATTAGTTTTCCCGCATTGTCTTCACTCATAGAAAGAGTTGAATAAACAATCTGCCGTGTTTCTAAATGCATAGTGATAAATATTCACTACTTTCGAACTACATTGAATTGAATCAAATTAATCTGATTTAAATCAAATAAATCTAATTTAAACGTTTTTATCTATTTGTTTAATCATGATTTTTTTGTTGTTTTTTTGTTACAATAGAGCGATTTAGTGCGAAGTGCGTACGCTGCGTAAAGCTGACAACATAAACAAACGATGTCTTTTTCTTTTCTTTTTTAGATTTACAAGTCAAGAAGGTAGGAGAAGCTCCTCCCACAAGTGTGATGCGCCCGTTTCAAATCTCTCCGCAGTCGAAAGAAGAGTTCCCTGGAAACGCTCCTTGTTCCGCTTCAATGGATTCCAACTCGTCTCCGGTCCCACTTTTTAAGAAAGCGACCTTTGTATTCATTGAAGAGGGAACCGAGCCCCTGAAAGCAGCCTTTGTATCCATCGGGGGGGAAGCCGATCCCCGAAAGTCGTATTTGTTTCCGTCGGTGGGGGAGAACTCTAATCTCCCTCTCGTGGCTTCCACAATGCTAAGTCAAAGTCGAAAGATAAAGCAAATATGTACAGAAAGGCAAGACCATCCTCTCGCGTTGGCCGCGACGTCACGGAACGGTGGGACGCTATTGGGTGCAAAGGTGGCGGAGGGATATCCGATTCCCTTTGAGGGGCATTTGCCGCTACCTTCTTAACCTGTAACTGACTATAGTGCGGTGCAAATTGCTCATTCGGAGCACAAACTTATGCGATAAAGGTTGTACGCTGGTCAACCCCTTCTCTAAGTTAAATGCGAAAAATAGCTCCGCGCTAGCTGCGTTACACAGTGTACCGCCTGCTTGAGAGGCGCCTTAAACCTTGGTAGCACTACTGATATTAAATGATAACGAACACATTATATAAAGAAGTTGGGACTTCAATCCACGGTGTGAAGGTGGCTGGGCAGCGAAACTGAGGTATCACCTGCAACGATTGCCCGCTGCACTATAGACCCTTCTTATGGCAAACGCCACCAGGTGGTGCTTCAGTCTTTGACGTCCCAGAGAACTTTCGGTTTATAAAAATAACGAACACAGGCCACCTTAACACCGCGGCTTGAAATGTAGATGAAACATTTAAACACCAATTCTCCAGGTGAACGCCAAAGAACGAAAGGGTGCGAGATCCGTTAAAATATTTCGAGTATCCATGTAAACCTCCTCCAAGATGTAATATTGTACAGCCGCAGAAGGCCCTCGTTGAACCTTCAACTTTGTTGTCCGTGTAGCATCTATTCCTTCTAGCACTGGTGACATAAGCAAGCTCAAAATGTTAGGATAGATAACTGGGAAAGCTGGTAAGAGTTGATGTTGAAAAAGCATCGCGACTGAGACAAGGACAAAAAGACGAAGAGTTGATGAAAAAAACAACGCTTATCTTGTGTTTGCTTCGTCTTTTTGTCGCGCTGTTTTTCAACATGAAGCTCAACAGGCTTGCAAAGTCGCTCGGGACTGGAAGTCGCTTGGGACGTAAGCGGCAGTTCATGTGTTTAAAAAGCAAAAGGGTCTATGCCGATTGTTTGACGAAAGAAAAGTAAATGCACTGTACCAAAACTTTTTATATATGAAAGGCTTGTGACGTCACACAAAAATGCTGTTGCGCAAGCTGCCATGGCGACGGCAGCTTGCGCACCAGTAATTTTTACCAAGAAACGTACACTCTAAAAATGGCCCGTGCATCTACTTTCCCGCACAACACTGGGAGAGCCAATCACCGCAGCTTACGGAGGCAGCTCAACGAATGACGATGCCGAAACATATGTTTAGACCGAAAAACGCAGTCTGAGTTGTGAAATTAAGCAATGCAAGGGTCGCGTTTTGCCTTAATGTCACAACTCAGAGTGCGTTTTTTGGTCTAAACATATATCTCGGCATCATCATTCGCTGAGCTGCCTCCGTAAGTTGCGGTGATTGGCTCTTTAAATGTTGTGCGGGAAAGTAGACACACGGGAGTTTTCTAGAGTGTGTGCGGTGAGCCCCACGTGCTCTGCATTGTTATCGGGAGCGCCTTATCATCAATTATCTGGTTCGGATACTTGTTTCGTGCTTGTTCTTTATTGAAACGAATGCCGTGCTGTATGTGTATGCGTAATATGCACTTTTCGCTTCAATCGCTACAAAGTATTTTTTTTTTTTCCTGTGAGGATGCTCACACAAAAAGATCTTACCTGCGAGTCATATACAGCTTCGCTGTAAAACTTACTTCGAGGTAAGCTTTTCGACGGGTCTGCCAAAAGACTGGTGAGCGTTTCTCCGATTCCGCACTAAAGTGGGTGAGCTTTTCTCCGGGATTCCAAATCATTACCTTTCTACTGACAATACCAAATAAAAATCCAATAACTCACTCTAAAAAAAGTCTGTGCGCCTACTTTCACGCACAACACTCGGAGAGCCAATCAGCGGAACTTACGGTGGCAGCTTAGCGAATGACGATGCCGAAACATATGTTTAGACCAAAAAACGCAGTCTGAGTTGTGACATTAAGCAGTGCAAAACGTCACCCTAGCATTGCTTAATGTCACAACTCAGACTGCGTTTTTTGGTTTAAACATATGTTTCGGCATCGTCATTCGCTGAGCTGTCTCTGTAAGTTGCGCTGATTGGCTCTCCGAGTGAGCTGTCTCCGCACAGACTTTTTTTAGAGTGCTATGTTTACATACCGCACTTAGAACAAACCCAAGCAGCACATACACGTGAAGAAAACGTCGAAAGAACGTCGAAGACGTCTGTAACGTGACGTCGTACAACGTCGAAGGTCCGGACGTTACCTTCCTTCGACGTCGATAAAACCTTTAAATGTCCGCGAGAAAAGGAGCAGAGGAGGTCGAGGGAACGTTTCAGAGGACGTTTGTCACACGTCACATGCACGTCTCAGTGGGCCGTTGCGTCCTCCCTCGACGTTTATGACACGTGTGTTTACGACATCCGGACTACCAACGACGTTCACAGAACGTCGAGAAACCATTCCAAATTACGTTCCCTAGACGTCGTGGGGAAGACTTTGTGTCAATCCCCCCCCCCAACCAAAAAAGTAGTTTTTTTAAGTACCATTGCGACGGCAAGTTGTTCTCATGCAAGTACGCATTATATTATTATATTATATTATATAATTATATTGCAAGTATTATAAGTGCGAAGACAGTAACTAAAACACAGATTTGGTATGAACTGTTTATTGTGAGCTATTTCGAGACAGGAGATGCACTATGGAGCGGCGCCAAAGACGTCCCTGGATGTGCCAGCCTGAAAGATATAAAAGAACAAACAAATTCACGTAAAGATATGAACAAGAGACGATGTCACGCTGCGCGAAATGTTCCACCTCTTACCTTGTTCTGCCTCTGGTTAATGCGCTGACGCGCGTGCTTTAGCCACCCCATCGCACATAGGTGGTACACCCGCTGCGTGCACGGGAACGGCTTCAGGAGTGTGATCCCGTCTGCAATAAGGACAAATCGCTAGGAAATCAACATTATTCCAAGGTTTAACAAGCAACATTCGAGGCGCCTGTCTTGAAGCCCAGCTAAAAAGCTTCAAGACAAAATAAAGAAATCGTAGACACGCCTACGCTTTGAAAGGCAAGAACACAAACGCGTAGATATTGAAACAGTTGCGGCTTATAAGTCTGATAACGACAGAAAGTTTTCCTCAACCTGGCAGATATCACCCAGCAAGCGAGGAAAGTCTTTTCGTGTGCAGGTCGTTTCGAAGACTACCGTCGGGAGGTATCAACTGCTTGAATTGAGGTGCGTGGCACCTTTCCGGGAAAGGACGGCAAAGCTTAAAAAGCGAGTATGACTGGTCAAGTTATGTGGAACCAAAAACGTAACAAACAACAGCTAGCATGTACGTATTAAGGACACTCACCGAAAGCCGCCGCCGCTAGACGAAGGGAGCCAAACCTAAGCTTTCCATTTGCTCCGCACCAACTGTACTCAACTGCCAGCTCGTCTGTTAGCAATGCCCTGAAGAGCCGTATCACAGCTTCTGATGGCGAGTGTCCACCGATCGTGGAGATCCACTTGACCTGGATACAAAGAATAATAAAAAAAATCGTCAAGAGTTAAACTGCGTGGAGTCGAAGTAGTACTGCAATCGCTACGTAGGAAGCTGCCGTAATACGAGAATAATTCCAAAAGCTGCGAGCTTTATTATCGCCAGTTCTCTTGCGAGTTCATCAGTCTGCCTTACCAGGTCACTCCGGTGTTCCTCGTCAACCAGTCTCGCTTCGAGGGCCTCCAACTCCTCACGTGAACTGAGAGGGAAGTGACTCGATGTCCTGCTGGCTCCAATGGGCGCCGCCTGCTGCTGATCAATACGCCGTTGCAAGGCCTCGATGATTTCATGTAGGCCAGCGACCTCAGCCCTTAGCTTGAGGACCTCTCTAAGAATCACGTGAGCAGTGTCTGCAGCAAAAAAAAGAAGTTGAAAAAACGTTGATGCGGACGCAGAAAACCAAACGGAGACAACGGTGGTCGCTCAAAGCTACAGCATGTATAGATATTGAAAAGTGTACAAACCCTGCTCAGAGCTGCCGCCGGCTCCTGCAGACGCTTCATGCCGTACCGTGCTTTGATCACGCTGTCCGCTGGTGGCATCTGAGCTTTCAAGCTCTGGGTTCCTACAAAAATCGGTTGTCACGACCACAATAAGGCGAAACAAATATATGTGGATGATTAAACAAATATGGTTTCGCTGACCAAAACTAGAGCACTCCCTCACCGTAGACACCAGTGCAAGCGACGTGTGGTAGGGGAACTATCATTACCTGATGGAAGGGAACTCCGGGATGTCTGTGTAATCTCCGATGTCATCGTCATCTGAGCTGCTGCTGGTGGCATCTTGCTCACTGTCAGTTGTTAGCCTGGTCGTCTTGGTGGCCTTGTCACATTTGTAGACGGCTGTCGTATAGTCCGCTGCAGTGGTTAAAACACTCAATATAATTAATACATGATTACGTGCACTTTTTGTTGGTAGAACTTACGGTAACTACGAATAATTCTTATCTTGTGAGCTGTCCACGATGAGTCCGGCATCGAGGACGAGACGATGGCCGCCTGAACCAGCTTGGAATTTTTCCATGGTGGCCACAGACATTTGTCGTTTTTTACCCAAGAAGTAGGGACAACGTCGATAGACTTCAGCTTGTTCTTTCTGGCGTTCACAAACTCCACCACGTGGTACATGCTATAAAGATTGAATATAAACACATAAGGGATAGCGGTCAATGGACTCCATATTATTCGACAAAAACAAAAAGCTGAAGAACGATGGGTTCAAAAATCAGAATGGGCACCCAATTACCGTATGGTGAACTAGCACAATATATATATATATAATGAAGTTAAACCTTCGTAGTTTCCTCTACGCGGACATAGGAGACCAACATTATTCGGCGTTAAGACAGGTACGTAAAAAGACTAAAATGAAACCTACAAAAGTGGACAGAAATCTTCCAGCGTTCAAACAAACTAGTGACGTTAACCAGCGTAGCGCGTGGTATTTACAAATTATTTTGTAGCTGCGGAGCAAAGTAACAACTCACGTTCACCGTCGATGTTAGGAAGCGGACAGCCGACGTTCCAGGCAAAAGTCAACAAGCGATGACTGGCCGATGGCAGCTTGGCAAGTCCTATCTATCGTCCCTTCCTCCCCAGACCTTGGCATTGAGTCCCAAATATATCCTTCTTTCCTTGCTTGGAGAGAAGGAAGCTAAGCCCATTCAGTTCTCTCTTTCCTTCTTGGAAGAGAGGGGGCAGGAACGACCTTGCAATCTTTGGCTTGGAAACGGGGTCACCCTCCCAAAGGAAGCCCACACACTGTCCTTTTGTGTTGCACGTCCGTTCATGAAGTTTTTGAACCACCTTTTCGCCTCAACCCGAAAAACTAAAATAGCAGAAAAACGCAAAGCGCGGCTACCTCCGGTATCGCGATAAACGCACCATGTTCTCCGGACTATTGTTTGATATTTTACGCTAAGTGGCCTATTCCAGGTTCGTCCGGTCAGATTGCCATGTTCACGGCATTTTACGCTGGAATTAAGAATCCAACAAAAGGAGCGTCGTCCTGGATTGCAAGTATGAAAACTCTGCAATCTCCGTGTGGCCTCTCTGTAGAAACAGCTTTTGATCTGTTTCTATCTACACCGAGTGCGGACAACCAAATAAAAAAATTGTCAAGCCCAAAATTTACCTTAGCAGACAATAGTTCAGGAAATGCGGTAGATGTTCGAGGAAAACTTTAATGGCTCGTTTCCAGGATTCTCATATAAATAGAAAACAAAATAAAGGGATACATACTCCAAGCATACATCACAAGTCTTCGTTGTCCGGGAATTCATTGGAATGAATGAGTGGTAGCACAGCAAATGAGTTCTGCTTAAGCGGAAGCAGCACACATTTGCAGGCGACGCTCTCAAGCGGCCACTGCATGGTGTCTGAAAGCCCAGAGACGGCGTAGACGTCTATCTTCGTTGACGAGCACGGAAATTCATACAAGCTTCTCTTGTTTTCAAATTTTTGTCCGATGACCATGTTGCATCCGTCGTTCTCCTTGACTATGTTTTGTACCTGAACCACGCTTCCTGAGATTATGCAGACGTTGTTATATGTCTTCGAAGCCAAGGTAAAACCGCTGAATGTAGCTTTTCGGAACTGCGCCGAAGGTGGAAGGAAGACTGGTCCATCTTTGTGCTCATCTGTCAAAACATAGGTTCCGGTGGACTGAGCTTCCCTCACGGACGATCTACCCCCCAAGGTTCCATTTTCTTTCATTTCGTGGAGTCTCCTGCTCAGCTGCTGAAGAGGGAGGTTCCCCTGGCTAATGAAGCCTTTCATGCGGTGAAAGTAATTTTCAAATTGAAAAGCGCTCACGTTGTCAAGGCTTCCAAACGTGGCGGAGTCATCAACCAGGTGAAGGAGTCCGTGAACGTTGTACGAGTACTGCTCATCGCCGTAAAGGTCGCCGAAAAATCGAACGAAGCGCTTCAAGAGCGCGCCTGCATAGTTACGTAGCTGACTTTGAGCACATGTCTTCGCACCGACAAGAAGGCGAAGCGATACGTGAAGTAGAAGAAAATGCTGGAAGTACTTCTTGTCAAGCACGCTGGAAAGGACGACGGGACCAGTGTAGAGCAAGAACTGCCGAAGTTCGGTGGCTTTCCAACGGTCAATTTCCTCAAGAGCACGTGGGCGACGAGCAAATTCGCAAGGGATAAAACCTGCGAGTGCCTTAAGCGAGGCTGATACGTGCTTCATGGTGGATGGCGTAATCCGGCATTCAAGGTGGCCTCTAATCCACAAGATGATAAGCTTTCTCGTCACTCCCAAACAAACCAAGTGCATGTATTCGAAAGGAAACTGCACCACCATGTCTAGTGGGAGCTTCACCAATGGTGTGTCACTGATGTTATGAGTGCTATCTTTTTTCCGACGGAAGTCGTCATTTGTTCTCGGCTCATGTAAAACACCACGGAGGCTAACGCGACCTTTTATGTACTCCCCTCGAACTTTACACTTCCCACAGCAGGAATAGCCAGTGTGACTTTTTATACCGAGCAAAAATGCTCTCGCAGGCGCATCACATACGAAAGCCTTAAGCGAGATGCGGAGCGTCCTGCCATTTATAATTAAGCCATTTTCCAGAAGCTCCTCAAGTTCAGGAATGAGTTCAGACAAATACTCATCGACTGAGTTGGGTTTGGAATACCCATGATAGCACCCGACGATAAAAGGAACGCTGTTAGGGATGTCAGCAACACTACACATGATGGGCCATAAACAGCTTTTTGAGCTTACTGATAGTGACACACCGTCGATGTTTAACAACAATTCGACGTTTTCTAATGAACTGGCCGATGGGTGGAGTGACAGCGTGTGCTTGATGCCTTCTGCTAAGCCGTAATGGGAGTATATGCCACCTTCAATCTTTCGCACAGTCGTACTTCGAGGGCAAGATCTCAACGTTCTGGCGTCCTTTGGCAGCCCGGAAAGAGAGGGAACCTTCCTGAGAATTTGCAAAAGTGATGACGTCGCTTCCAAAGTTGTTTTATAGTGAATCGACCAAACTGCCAACTCAGACGCTGTCTCCTGCCCGCTACTAGTTTCATTCGAAAGTGGTTTGTTGGCTTTATCCGCGGATTCCGTTGACGCCGGGTGTTCTTGACTGAGATCGTGGGAGGCGCCTGAAGGGCCTTGATTGGACACTGGATTCGACGCGCCACTATCTGCACTGCCACCTGTTTCCTGGGGGGTGTCATTGGTATCCTCACAGACACCCTGATCCGAGCAGTGATGCAATTCAATGCATGAAGCGTTATGGGCTTGAAGAAGGTCGGCGAGCCGTGACTGAATACGACGGCGTTTTTGACGATCACCGACTTCTTCGTGCGGGCGACTTGAACGACTGAGCCTGGACAGCATTATGGAGAAATCAAATTGCAGGACTTACACTGTATGCAGACTCAAAAAAATCCCGGTGACATAGCAGCCTGCCTCGTAGACCCCGTAGGCGTGACTGCCGGCGCTACTGACTTCCGGAAAAATTGAAAACTTTTGGAAACGAACTGAGAAACTACGTGCACCCGGAATTTACTTTAGTCAATTGTTCTCCGCCACTATCCCTCCCCCCCCTCTTCTCTCTCGCCCTCTTCTTGCCGAGTTTCCCGACGCATCGCATGGGGCTCTATGGAGACATCTCCTTCGCCTGCCTTTCCCCCTCTCTCTCGCGCCGCGCCGAAACCGTCTACTTCCCTTTTTTTTTTGCTTTTTTTTTTTTGGCGGTGCATAAGTGCGGGTTGGACATGAACGCTTTTTGGACCGTCATCTGGGCCATTCAGCGGTTGGCATCATGAGTGCCAATCTCCACAAACCGTTGACAGCATTTACTGGATTTCGGCATTGCCGGGTATTTTATTTTTTGGAGTCAATTTCAATAATGTGCAAGTGTGCATTGAAATTGTGCTTCGATATAGTGTGTGCCGGCATGCGATTTTCGTTTGGATACGTCACCAGTGGCAACGAAAGCAATATCTGTTCGGACAGTCACGTGACAAGACTCTGCGTAACGATCTATCGAAAGCGCTAAGGTGTTGGACGTTGGCGTTGTGGATGAACTGTGACGTTGGTGCGAATTTTGTGTTTGTGCGCAAGTGAGCATTGGTAACAAACACGGAGAGAAATCGACGAACCTTAAAACAATGTCGGGAGGTCGCGAAGCACTATGGGTGCTCCTTGGAAATGACGCATGCCTGAAATCACCTACAGAGAAGATAGTGTATACTAAAGTCACTGGATATTGAGAAAGTAGCGCCATTGCCTTCCTCACCTGCTAGCCGGACACAAACTGATACTAACATACAGATGACCCAAACGTAGCAAGGCGATTGGCTAATTGGTCTACGTTGCTATGGAAATCGCCATCTTGGTCCATTTAAATCTTCCAAGCTTCTAGAGAGTCGTTCTAAACCAGTCGCGCCAAGATTGCCATGGCGCATCATTGTACTGGAGGCGTTCCTCGCCAATATAAGGGTCTTTGGCACTCTGTATGCAATCAACTTATTATTCATGCCCATCTCCATAGATCTCTTACAATTATATTGTCTTTCTTGCCTATTTCAATACAGTAAACTTATTTTTCAGTACCTCCAGGCACCGACACAGCATCTCGTTGTGGTACGAAGGTGTGCGCTTGTTTCGCGGGTATGTGGTTAGCAAAATCTCGGTATACAAAAAACCACTCCATAAAGCCACCCGTCATCAGAGAATCTAGATCGGCTCACCAAGAACGGAGGAGTCCAGGAGAAATTGCTCATTTCACGGACCAAGATGGCGACCACACGGGGAGCTTGGTGTTACTTTCCCAGGATTTAGTGACTTTAGTGTATACCGGCTCGCCTGAAGCGCGTGCCAGGACCCATATGGAAGAGGACAAATACGCGCGTGCAAAAAGCAAGAATGGCACAATTCGATCCGTTCTGGACGCAGTGGGCGTCACTTCGCAAATTAAAACCGTAACAATATTTTAAACAAACTAAAAGTATAACAATTGCGCATGTAAAAAGGATGATACTCCCAACATGCCTTCCTATTATTTTTTTTTTCCCCTTCAGTGTACTTTGAGTTTTGTTTATGCCCTCCCTAGCGTAATCCCATGTGCTATGAATAGTATTTTGAAATAAATAAATAAAAAACAATCCCAAGCTCTCAAAAAGTAAGTTTTGCTTGCGGCTCTTGAGCAGTGTCACTTTGGCCGCGGCTGTAATTAAGCTTTTAACAGTGAACGCGTATTATACGCGATTCTGCGGCTGGAGATGGAGCTGGAAATGTTAAAAAAAAAAAGCAAAGGTCGTGGTATGACGTCGCAAGGGCGTCAATGACAGGAGAAAAATGGAACATAATTTAATTATGGACTCAACGTCGAACGAAACGTGAGTGGTCGACGTTGCCAGTACGTCCTGATGACGTTTACGACGTGTAGGTGTGAACGCGACGTCGCTGAAACGTCACTGACGGGACAATAATGTAACGTCACTTATTGACTTTATTTTAACGTCGAAGAAACGTGAGTGTTCGACGCTACTAAAACGTCTTGTCTTGACGTCGTGGCGACGTTGAAGTTGAAATATGACGTCGCCAGCACGTCACAGACAGGACGATAACGGAACGTCATTTCTGAACTTCGCTTCAACGTCAAAGAAACGTGAGCATTAGACGTTGCCAGAACGTCGTGCATCGACGTCGTGGGAACGTTGACAACGTTTGAGTTGAAATACAACGTCGTCACGACGTCACTGATTGGACTTTAATGGAACGTTATATATGGACGTCACCTCAACGTCGAAAAAACGTGATCGAAGTCGTGCGGGACGTCACGGACGTCCGGGACCTTTTATCGACGTTTCCACGACGTTTTGTGCTGCTTGGGAATATGTTAACCTCGAAAGTAGTTTGAGTATAATTTTAATGCTCATGACAGCACTATATAACATGATTCATAACCCTTACATGATATGACGCAATAGCAGAAAACTAAAGTTACAAAGACGGGTTAGAAGCAAATGAAATGTGTCTGTTGAAACGGTGTTCTCGTTTCTATGTCACTACATTTTTTTATTAGCCTAGATTCCCAGCTGCCCCTTGACCCGTTTATGTCAACGAATGCTTACAGGCTGCGTATCTATAATTTTCTTGGTGTTTCTTTTTGTTGGTTTCTTCTTCGAATATCTTTATTCTTCTGACCCTTCCTATTGTTTTCCTCTACATTTCACTCTTTCTTACTGTCTTTCCGCTTCGCCTCTGCCATCTTCTCGTACGCCCACACTTGAGCCAGCCACTTTTGATTCGTCACACGTGTGATCCCGGAAGCCCATCGGTTGTCCTTCAGAAACAAACAAAAAGCCACGAGCTTCATAAAACTCAGCAATATAAACCAGTACTTAGACTACGGGAAGATAAACTTTAGGTGTTCATATCGCTGGCGGCCAGGCTATATGACGAACATAACTGCACATAACAAAGAAATGAGTGACCGACACAAAAAAAAAAAAAAAATGCAGGAGGACATTTAAGACTGCTCATGTGAAGGAGTGCGAAAGTATTCCTACACGCAGTGCATTCCTACATTCACCGCGCCACGTTTTCCTATCGCACACGGTGCTCCTGCGGTGACGTCACGCTCCCCCAGTGCGCAGGCGCGTCGAACTCCGCCGGCTCCACGGCTTCCGTGACGATGCATCTGCGTTGCTGTGCTTTTCTTTGTGTTTTCTTCTGGGGCGCGTTCGCTTTGACTTTGAGCGCCCCGCCGACTTCCGTGACGAAGCATCTGATATGACGCGTCGCAGCCATTTTAACTGCCGCTTATTTAGATGCCTGTTTTTCGTGGTCACAGCCAACGCCGGCTGCTCTCCATGGTACAGTCAATGTTTTCGCATTTTCGCATTAATAACTATCATATACAACGATGCATCAAGAAACAGACCATACCATTTGGATATTGAAAAAGAAAGTCGATAAATGGTTGAAATTATGCAACTAACGGTACGTCCTCTCAATGACCAAAATGACCTAGAAATTCGGTAATAGTTCAAACGCGGTGGGTCAGTGCGTGATTCAGCGGCTTATGGATTCGGAGGATAAAAATATAATTGGGGTCTCATCTGTCACCTCTTGCCTAGGTGAACTACATCGAACGCATTAAGGTCACTCTGATGCTTTTTTTCTGTTGTGTGCCGGAATACCCCAGACCGAACTAGTAAACTATAGTTCGAAATCTGCACTGGTGCGCTTCCCGTAGACATCGATTGCAGCTTTCGGCGTGCTTCGGATAACGGAATAACCGTCGCTTCATTAAAGGGACACTAACAGGGTGTTTAGGATCACCGAGGTTTTTATTTGAACATGACTTATAAGAGCCCAGCTACCCAGAACGCAATTTGCGGATCGAAATTCGTTTTCTTTTTTTTTGCCCGAATACAGCCGGTCGAGAATTGGCCGGTTTCAGTCGCGCTCACTCCCGTTTCCATGATTACATGGCGTTGAAACCGCGTCCCAGGTATATTCAAAGTCGCCGGTAACCTAAAACATACATTCAATACTAAAAATAGAAAAGAATACGGACCCCATTTTTTGTGGCCTCAAAAAAAAAAAAAATGCAAATACGTTGATTGCAAAAACAAAACAAATGTTACAGAGATCACAGGAATTACATGTGCACGTTATTCTCAGTATGGCGACGTATCGCGGGCTGGATGTCGCGATGGCGGTGTTCGACGGACCAACGTTGCGACGGACGTGGGGCCGCTACCTCGGAACTGTCTTCGAGTGCAGAACATCGAGCGGAAGGGATATAAGTGCGAAACAATCGCACGAAAAACGGTGCACGAAAGTTTGTCGTCGTCGTCGTCTGTTTCAAAAGCCGGAAAGGCGGGAAAAAAACAAAAAATAAAAGCAGAGACTATTTTGATCGTTTACCGTCACAATATCTCAAAAACTATTTCGACATCTGTGACGTCACTTTCGTAACATGTCAAAATAGTGGCTTTATTATTTTGACGTCCTCCCGTCCTCCTTCAATGTAGCAGCCCTAGCAGTAGTAGCCGTTTCGTGGTTTCGTTCTGTTTAGTTTCTGATGGTATCGTCTGTGTGTTGTAGGCGTTTTGACGGATAGTTTCGGTCCTAGTTGACAGTGGAAATATCTTATTGACAGTGTGTGTCGCTTTCGAACGTGACACGCCCGTTGGCGATGTTCTGAGCTCGCATCTCGGCACGTGTCTCACTTAAAATTTTGAATTTACAACAAATGCGAGCTGGATATCCCTCCGCCTTCCCTGCACGTAACAAATGTAAGTGCGTATAGACCATTCCATTTAGCGCTCTCTGGGCGGCACCATTTTGTGCGACCGTAGCGCCCTCTCCACGCATCCGGGAGGTTCAGCGGGTTCGGCGGGGTAAAACGAGAGAGAGGGCACGCGCGCGACTCCGCTAGCAGACGACAAACCGGGAGGTTGCCGTTCTCCATCTTTGGGCTGTATCGGCGGGCTCTACCGAACATTGAACTCTCGCTCGTGGCTACCGTTGTGAAGTGGTTCGCGTTGTTAGAATAGTTGTGGCTACTCCAAAATCAGCCTAGAGCTCTCTGTTGTTCTACTTCGGTAAATGATCAACTGACATATCTTTTTTCCGTCACTTAAATAGCAGTTGAGTCTGCCGGCAGTACTACCCTCAACTACTGCGTGTATTGCGGCAGGAGAGCACGTTTTTATTTATTATTTCAGACATACACTCATGGTCGCTAAAGGCCTACATCAATACGAACTTTGTATAGTAAAAAAGGAGGTTTCCTTCTTTGATCTCCGACGTTCCCTTTGCTTCCCCCTCCCCCCCAGCCTACCTTTCCTGCGAAAACTTTCCTTAAAGGCCGACGTACCAACCTCGGTTTTCTGCAGGGAAGATAATCCTTTTAGCGCTCCCCTTTCCTATGCTGCGAGGGGGAGCCTGGTTGGGGCAAGCTAAGCAGTGGAGAGGATATAGGAAAGGAGGTGGCGGGCAAAAGTGGAAAGCGCGAAGTGTACGTCGGCCTTTATCCTGTCTCTGACTAGAGCTGGTGTCCTTCGAGAGGGTCTTCTTGCAATCCACATCTCTTCAATGCACACAAAAACAGCAGCCGACTGCATGACATTTGTTTTCAGAAAATGCGTCTCCAACAGCGACGCTGCCTGCAAGCAAGATAATATTTTTTTTTTTTTTTACCGCCACCTTCGATCGCTCCCCAATTTGGACTCCTAAGCTCCAAAGTTCTATGTTTGAGATGTCGATATAATGACAAAAATATTTAAACGGGGGACGTCAAAATGTTTTTCAAGATGTGTTTCGGTATCAAGCTTCGAGCAGTTGAGTGTTTTAAGCTTTATTAAAAATACACATGACTCTGCAGCAGAATATTGATTGTATAGTCTGCTGACAACTTATTAAATCGCCTAACAAAAAAGATATATTTTTTTAACTTTTTTTTTGAGAGGAAGGTGTTCTTTTAGGCCGCTTAAAATCCCGTGGCCATTGTTAACCAAGCCCCATATAAAAGTAAAACAAATGCTAAACAGAGTTCGCAAGCAAAGTTTTCATCAAATAAAAATAAAAAAAAAATCTTCTATAAAAAAAGTGTCGTGTGGATTTGGCGTAAACGGGTTGAAAGATAATGTTGGCGAATGTCTCCAGATCACTCGAGGCGCTAATCTTGCCGGTCTATGGAGGAAGGAAGCGACGAGACTTGAATTTGCATTCGAGCCAGAAGTGTTATGTACGCCCAGAAACTTCCGGAAAAACGATATTCTCAACGTGGCCTATCTTATTTTGGGATTTCGGAACATCGGCTGCCATTCTAATCTTTCCAAGAAGTTTGTATGTTGTCCTGCACAAAGACTTTGCTCTGGCTTAGCGACAAATTCAAATTTCTGTGCGCACGTACTCCACCCTGTTACGTCACGGCGCGGTGGTGGCGCGTCGGGCGCACTTCCTGTCTGGGGCTGTAGGCGGAAGTCTCCATGCGGGACGTGCATTCCTGTGTTGTCTTGAAAGAAACGTGAGAAAAACCTGCCTTGTCGTCAAAACGCCGCGACTGGGGCTGTACCAAAAGAGTCGGGAAAAGTTTGAAGATCAGTTTTTATGTTTTCTGTTGCTCGGTTCATCTGCGAACGTGAATAAGTGCCGTGAAAATGGAAAACCAGACGCCTTCGGACCAGAATTGCTTGTGCGGGTAGGTCTTTGGGCTGGAGTCACGACACTTGGGGTCGTAAAATTTTTTTTGTTTTCTTCCAACATGAACGCGGGAAAACCGCCAAGTTGTCGGGACCACTTCCGGACTACATTCAGTGCGTCTGAACGTAGTCCAATCGTTCGAAGTGTCGTCTGCTCTTTTAAATGTGTCTGCTCGTTGTCGTCTGCTCGTTCAAACGACAGCGGCCCGTAGACCAAATGTTGATCCGGTAATTGCTATGAGAAGTAAGTGCAGGCCTCAAAATACTTTTAAAATTGAAGGTTGTTTGGGGTAAGTAGGCTCGGTGTAAGCAATAGAAATCAAGGATACGTTGATCATTGTTACCAGCCGCCATCACCGACTTCCTGATTCACTTGGTTTGATTGTGCTTGCGATTTTCAGTACCGACGCCGAGCACCGAAGCTACCGTCCACGCTCTTGTGGCCCGAGTGACGTCGCGATTAAAAATGCATTCCTGTGTTCCTTTGGAAAAAACGAGACAAAAAACCTGCCTTCTCGTCAAAATTCTGCGATGGGGGCTGTACCAAGAGAGTCTGGAAAGGTTTGAAGATCAGTTTTCATGTGTTTTTGCCCCCTCCGTTCGTCCGAGAACGTGGATAGTAGCCGTGAAAAGGGCAAACCAGACGCTGTCGAACTACGATTGCGTGCGAGAGCAACACTTTGTGGTCGCCAGATCTATTTGCTTTGTTCCAACATGAACGAGAGAAAACCGCCAAGTTGTCCGTACCACCCACGGGTTCAGTGCGTCTCCACATTCACACGGCCGCCTGATCACTCGAGCTTTCGTCTGCTCTTTCAAACTTGAATGCTTTTTGTCGTCTGCTCGTTCAAACAAAAGCAGCCCGTAGACCAAACTTTGACCCGGTGATTGCAATAAGAAGTAATTGCAGGCCTCAAAAGACTTAAGTAGGCTCGGTGTAAACAGTAGATACAGGATGTTGATCATTGGTACCGGTGGCCATCACCGACTTGTTACGCTTGGTCTGTTCCCGCTTCTTATTTTCAGTATCGACGTCGATCATCGCCGCTACCTTCTACACTTTTGCAGCACGAGCGACGTTGCGACCGAAAATAGCTAGAAAAATCTCATCATGGTTTTGGCGTCCATTCTGCGGCGTTAATGCGAATGAATGGCCGCACGTCAAATTATTTACAGAAAGTTTAGCGGCATAACGAGCCTTGATAATTTCGCTCAGGCGATTAAAGTGGTAAGACATTGCGATGAGGACGTAGAATCGTCAATTTCAACGCGAAAAAGAGTATACAGACTCAATGTGACATTCGAATGGTTTGTCGACGCGGGACGCGGTGCTTCTGGCCCGTACTCCATTGCGCATGCGTTCGAACTGTCGTCTGCTCTTTCAAACTTGGCTGCTTTTTGTCGTCAGCTCGTTCAAACGACAGCGGCCCGTAAACCAAACGTTGACCCGGTAATTGCGATAAGAACTAAGTGCAGGCCTCAAAACACGTTTGAAGGTTGGTTGGGATAAGTAGGCTAAGTGGAAACAGATACAAGATGTTGATCATTGTTACCAGTGGCCATCACCGACTTGTAATGCCCGATTCTACTTGCGGTTTTCAGTATCGACGGCCACCATCTCAGCTACGGTCCACGCTTTTGCAGCCCGAGTGACGTCGCGACTGAAAATAGCGAGCAGAATCTCATCGTGGGAGTCAGGCTTTAGCGCCCATTCTGCGGCGTCCACGTGAAATGAATCGCCGCACGTCACATTATTCACGCAGTTTTGCCTCGATAGTTTTGCTGAAGCCGCTCAAGTAGACAGACATTGTTAGGAGGACGCAGAATCAACAATTCCAACGCGAAAAAGAGTACGGGGACTCCCACCGACGCCGACAACAACGCAATTCAATGGTTTGTTTATGGGCGAAGGCGAGCTTCTTGCCCACCATCCACCGCGCATGCGCGGCGCCGGCGGCGTCCGCTATGGGCGCTCCGGTTTGTTTGTAAACATAAGTTGGTGTATAGTTAGCTGTGGGCACGCCTCAAAAGAAAGGTCATACAGGGACAATTTGAAACACGAGAACGTCTAGGAGCCTTTGGCGCCTCCAGCTCGAAGTGGCGCATACTGCGGTCATAATTTCAATCGTGGCACTTTCGGCGCAGGCAACGGCGATATTTCACACGTATGCCCCATTTTCCCACGAAGTGATCGCTCACAGACCGAACATTTAGCCGATATCTCGCTGAATCTATCCGTTCGATCGAAGCAGATACATAATCGCGCAATTAACGTGCCCATTTACCGATCGGCACCGTTCGCTCTCATAACGTCTCGCGAGTGCGTGCGCTCCACACCATTAAGGTCGCGATACTAATTAATATCCCGTCTACATGCACACGTACATGTGAGAAACGAGAGAATACAAAAGAAATAAGAGAAATGGCGGAACCCTTTGTTGCATTCGTAGATTGGTTCTCCCACCGGCGTAGCTATTGTATCGAGCGCGTTCTCGGAATGCGTCGAGCGCTGGCGAGGGCGTCGTGCGGCTTCTCCCAGCTTTGAAGGGGACTGGACTGCCGTGTTCCCGTGTTTGTTTCCCAGGACGACCGAGGTATGTTCCGTTCTCTCCGCTAAGCCGACAGTGCGGTAGATGATGCTGCGTTCTCGTTAAACCCGTCGTACTTGTTGTACCTTACGCCACGTGATCACGCTACCCCCCATATCCACGCGCAGGAGCAGGGTCATGTGATGAAGGAGAGGCGATTGATTGGTCCGGCGGGCGCGTAGCTCTATACTGCGCTATCAGCTTGGTGGTGGACGGAGTATGGGTTCAGCCTTCGGCCGCCGGCCCCACACCTGCCTCCGCGAGACAGCGCCGGTGATCGAGGCGTGCCACACGACGTCCGTGGTTGCGCGCGCGCGCTATCCTCGCCGACGGAGAGCCGGTCTTGTAGACGACACGACTTCGGCCTGTGGAGCTGGCGGCGGGCGGCGAAGGTGCCATGGCCGCCGTTGCTCTGCCGCGCCTCAACAAAAGCGAGGCAGGCCTCTTCTTGGTCGAGGAAGTGAAAAGACGACAGGCTCTCTCGCGTGGTGTAGAAAACGAAGACGAAAAAAAAAAAGCGATAGCGGCGGTTTTGCGGTTCGTTCTGATGCCGCAACCGCCGGCCCGAGGAGCGGAGAAGATCAGGAGACGTCGTGGTGTATTCTTTCTTCGCAAGAACCCTCGACCTTGGAGACTTTTTAGTTTATACATTTCCCCGTCTTCTATTCTTTTCTTCTTCTTCTTTTTTTTTTTTTTGTATTCTTTAAAACCTGTTTTTGCAGTTCGTTTTGCTAGAAATATTCATTAAAGTCGTTTTCAAGATCAAGCTTTTCAAGGCTTTTTGGATCGGACGTCCTTGCAAACGGAAGGATTGGTAGTGTCACATATGCCTTACACTGATTTATTTATTTATTTATTTATTTATACTGCGACCTCAGTTGAGGTCATTGCAGGAGTGGATTACACAACTAAAAACATGAGTAGATAGAACAATAAACGAGAACATATTCAACAACATAATGATTCGCCAGAAACACCAAACATCAAAGGAAGTCAACTTTCGCGAGTTTTATAACACAGTCGTCGTACTGGAGCATACGCGTAGAACCGTCAATACTATTCCACGGCTCAACAGTGCGCGGAAAAAAGGAATTTTTCAAACAGTTTACGTGAGAACGAAAGGGTGCAATATTTAAGGGATGGTAACGCCTAGTGCGCGAAATATCTGAGAAGGAAATATACTTCATACATTCAATGCCACTTTCATTATTAACAATTCTATATAACAACTTCAATCGCTCGATAGTTCACCTTAACGATAAAGATTCTAGCCCTAATGTTAGCAAAGCGGATGAAGGTGAAAAGTTTCGATCATATCGATGGGAAATAAATCGGATAGCCTTAGCCTGAACAGAGTTAATGAGATTAATGTCCTTTTTTAAATGAACGTCCCAGACCACTGAACCGTACTCCAAAATCGGCCGCACGAGAGCTTTAAAAGCGGTTAATTTTACCTCTTTAGACGAATTTTTTAACGTGCGTTTAACATAGCCCAATTTTCTGAGGGCGCGGGAGCAAATACAGTCGACGTGCCTATCCCATTTAAGATTGGAAGTAAAAATAATACCTTAATATTTGAAGTCGCTTAACTCCCTTAGTACTATTTCATCAATGCCATAGCTAAAAACGAAAGGTGATTTCTTATTCGTAAATTTGATAAACACAGATTTTTCAAAGTTTATTTCCATGTGCCTTTGCTTGGTCCAATTGAAGAAGCGTGCGAGGGATTCATTAAGTAACAATTGGTCATTAGCCGAATTAATATCTTTATATAGGACGCAGTCATCGGCATAAAGACGAACTTTAACGGGAATGTTATCAACAATATCATTAATATACAGGAGAAATAAAAGAGGCCCTAATACGGATCCTTGCGGAACACCTGAACTTACCGTAGCTTCTGATGAATTAGCATTCCCATACGAAACAAACTGTGACTGGTCTTTTAAATAATCAGTGATCCAGTCGAGTAAAAGGGGATTTTTAAGTATGACCTTTAACTTCAACAGTAGTTTGGAATGAGAAACTTTATCGAATGCCTTCGAATAATCTAAGAATATGGCATCAACCTGTCCTTTATTATTTAAAGTCGTGGCGATATCATGAGTGAATTCAAGTAGTTGCGTGATGGTTGAAAAATGACGACGGAAACCGTGTTGCTGAGGGCAGATAATTGAATTGCATTCGAGGTATTCGGAAACATGGGAGTAGACTATATGCTCGAGGAGCTTACTACAGGTAGAGGTCAATGAAATAGGTCTGTAACTGAAAAGGCTCTGTTTGTTTCCAGATTTAAAGATGGGAACAACTCTGGCTGATTTCCAAAGTTTAGGAACTCTTCCAGAAGAGAGAGACTTCTCGAAGATTAAGGCCAAGTATCTCGATGTCCAAAGAGAGTAACGGCGAAGAAATGAATTAGGACCATCGGGACCTGCGCTTTTTTTGCAGTCAATGTTTAGGAGCAAGTGAAGGACGCCAGAAGTACTGATGGGAATGTTTTCTAACGACGAACACGGGAGTTCGAGAGAAAAGGAAGGTTCACAACCGTTATCTTCAGCGAATACGGACTGAAAATGTGCATTAAAGCCATTCGAAATGTCTACGGGGTCAGTGACACTTTCATCTTCAATAATAAAACTGCGGAAAATGTCATTTTTAGGAAGGATCGACCTCCAAAACTTAGCCGGATTTGACTTCATAAAGTTAGTCAATGTAACGTTGAAATAAGTATATTTAGCAGCTGTCATTGTTTCCACGAATCTATTTTTTAGGCTTTCAAACCATTTGACGTCCGAAGGACTATCACTAAGTTTTAATTTCCGATTTCTTTTTAGTCTGCGGGTTAATTGCAATACCTCTCTAGTAATCCATGGCTGGGCTTGATTTATCTTCTTATATTTGACTGGTACAAATCGTTTAATACAATCATTTACTAATGAGCAAAATTTGCTAAGCAACACATCAACATTATAGTCACGGCTAAAGGTCTCGAAATCATCAAAGCCAAAACTAAGTTCGTCAAGAATTGACTCGTCATTAGCTCTGTTAAAGTCTAAAACAGTAACAATCTCGGGTTTTCCGTGTAAGGCACGAAAATTGAGTGTCACAACAACAGCTCTGTGGTCTGAAATACCATCAACTACTTTGCACTCATAACCAGATTTGGCAATGCTGTTACTAAGAAAAACTAGGTCAAGAGTTGAGTTATCTCTAGTACATTCACTAACAACTTGATCTAAATCGAATGACACTGCAGTATCAACAAGTGCATCACATATAATTTTATCACGACTACCAACTATTAACGTTTTCCAATTTACGTCAGGTGTGTTAAAATCTCCAGTCAGAACGAATTTACCACCACCGAAGTTATGCTTTAAAATGTAATCGTGAATATCAAAAATAACCTGAGGGGAAGTACCCGGAGCTCTATAAACTGCCCCAATAACAAGAATAAATTTATCGATATAAGCTTTACACCAGAGTGACTCAGCTATAGGTAAGCCAGGAAGAACAGAAAAACTAACATCAGACCTAAAAAATAGAGCAACACCACCACCCCTGCCACATGACCTATCGCAACGCACAACAATGTAGTTAGGTGGAGAGAACTGAGTCATGCAACCACGTTTCAGTGACACAAATCACATGAGGGTAATATGCAGTTGCAATACCAGCAAATTCAGTGGACTTTGGGAGAATGCTCCTGGCATTAAGATTCAATAAAGTAAACGAGTTTTCACGAGGAAGTCAATTAGAATTATCCGGAAGGCGAGGGGGATTGACCCTTACAAGGCAGTTGTTAGACACATCCCACGTATAGCGAGTATTATTGACAAGTGAATAATCGTAGCGCAAAACCACCTTCGCACCGTTCTGTCTAAAATCAGCCGTACCACGCCATAGCTGACTGCGAATATTTCGCACGCGAAGGGAAAAATCTTCGTTGATGAACACGCGAGTGCCCTTAAGTCTTGGGGCGTTTTTGAGGATTAATATTTTTTCTCTATGGTCTATCACTTTAAAAATTACGGGTCTGATCTTACCATCTATGCGTGAACCAAGACGGTGGCAACGTTCGATGCCATCGCAGGAAATAGAAAGCTTGGAAGACAAGAGCTCAGTGACAGCCTGAAGCAGTGACGCTGACGATTCATTTTCAGCTTCTTGTAAACCATAAATAATCAGATTGTTCCTCCTAGAGTGATTTTCCAAGTCATCATTTTTATCAGCTAATTCGGCAAGTCTATGATCGAGCCTGGCGATTTTATCTTCAAGAGACTGTTCCCTTTTGTCGAGCCCAGACAGCCGTGATAACTCAGATTCAATGGCAACACAACGTGATTCAATGCCCACAATCTGAGATTGCAGGGTCGCTTGATTGTTTTTTAGTAAGGTTACATCAGCAGCTATTTGCGCTTGCCCATCAAGGAGCTGTTTGAGAAGAACCTGAGTATCCGGGCCGGGGTCCGATTCGACATCGCCGCTACGCAATAGCATATTAAAACAAACTCTAAACCATGCAAACAGGGAAGAACAAACGAAGCTACCCAGTGGGCCCGGTAGCAGCAATAAAAATATGTTATCGGACCTAGGAGAATCAGGCTCAGGACTCAGCTTTACCTGAAGAGCGAAGAAGAAACATCTCAGCGATTTGTTCATGATGCTGCCACCAAGCCCACTGAAGAGAAATGCTTGGAACGGTGGTCTTGTAGTTTCGGCGGCGGAAGTAGGTGTCGCCACGGAACTTCCGTCCATACGATGATTCAAGTTTGGTACTTGAACGTGGTGCTAGTAAGATGACGGAGAGCCAATAGCAGGATGCGTAGATTCCGAAAATTGTGCGGAGTCAGCACAAAAACCAGGAGACGCGAGCAGCGACGAGGCTGCACTGTCACAGCATCCGGCAGGCACTGACGACAGGGCAACCTGAAGAGCGAAGAAGAAACATCTCAGCGATTTGTTCATGATGCTGCCACCAAGCCCACACCTTTGATACCTTTGAAACATAGTTACTTGCTAGGGTAACTCCCCTGTTGAAAAATCAAAGTTGTCTGAGAAATTTATGTGTCCAATAAACACATATGAATCATACAAGATATATAAGAACATATAAGAACCATTTAGGAAACTTGTGAGAAGTTTTAATGTTTCTTATATGGTTCTCAGGTGTTCTTATATACATTATATAGCTTTTATATAATTCTTATACGCTTCCTTTATGGTTCCTATATGTTCATATATATATTATATAGTTCTTATATGCTCTTATATATCTTGTATGATTCATATGTGCTCATTGGATACAAGAAATTTCTCATACAAATGGCTTCATCACTAGGGTATATTATTGGCTGGTTATCCACTGTTCTTTTTTATTTTATTTTTTATAGCTTTGTTAACAATTTTGTAGAGATATGTAGAACAAATCGGGGAGTGTGGCAGTGTTATTTCGAGAGATATGGAGCCATGTAAAAGGTACGCCTCGTCCGAAGGTTCTCGCATTTAGAGTTTTAAAAGTGGCTTTTCTTGCTTTTTTATTTTTGACAATACAATTGCTTAACGAATATTGTTTTTTTCTTCCTGTCTACATGCGGACAAGTGTTTACAAGAATAGCAAGATTTTTTAAACAAATAAAAAGCAATTCACGAATTTTAACTTTCACAATTTATTCTGTCTTAATAAACTTATAATTTACGTCCTCCCAGAAATGTCAAACTGGGCTAATAAGGGTGATAAAAAACAGGAGTAAAAAAAAAAACGATTTTGCCATCACTTGCATATTCATATTTTCATGTTCTTGCACAGCCATATCATCTGCTATTATGTGGACGTTTCCCTCAAATACTAAAAGGGACTGCATCGGAACATTATTCCATGGAGTCATTTATTCGTTTAGTTTTAAAGTTTGTAGCCGACTAAAGTATGGGACTAAAATGATCTAGGCCTCTCAGTCTAGAAATGTCATGCAACTGCATGACATTTCGTTTTAGCTTTGACCTTCAAGATTTCACTCTAAATGATGGGAAATAGTAATTAAAATCAGAAAGAGAAATACATAATTGATGATATGGAGAGTTAGGCAGAGCTGTTCACAATCAGCTAGTTTCATTACCCACACAGGATATTGTATAACCACCCCATTGAGCAGGCATCGACATACCAAAATGTGTAATCTTTTTTTTTCTCTCATTATAATATAGGCATTTTCGTTTTTTATAAGCACATAAAATAAACAAATAATGCTGCTGCTGATGACGACCATAAAACCGCGTCGATGCAACTGAATTATTCTGACAATCAACCTCTATTAACCTTACCTATCCTATTCGTAGACATAGAAAGACCGTATCCTATTTTGAAGGTCTAGTGACATGCGTTCTTTAACGTACGCATTCGCCTCGCGCTTCATGCTTGGTGGAAATTAACGGGGAAAGTGTTGAATGCAAGAGTTTGCGACACAGCTATCTCAAGTTCAGGATCGGCGCTAACTGACACAGGTATAGATCGAGTACGTCCCCTTACCGCATTCAGTGTCCAGATGACCACACGTACACATTCCGCGGTAGCCTTCTATTTGTACGAGGAAAGTATTAGAGACACCGGGGATCGGGGCATGAACTTGGATTCGGAATGCCGCGCACAGAGTATACTTTCGGACAATTTTAGCGGAGGTCACGGCAGAGTGATATTGCAAGGGAAAAGGAACTAAATAGGTCGCAATTATCGGCTTGCGGGTGAACAATTCTATGAGTTCCACGTAACAGTACAGTTTTGTTTTTGTTTTTAAGACAGTTATTTTAACTTACTGTTCCACCGTTTTGTACTTGCCTTGAGTTTATTGGACTCGGCAAACACTTGTTTGTTAATTATTGTTATGCTTCGTTGACTAAAGATTTCTTTATATTTACCTACTGCTTTAATGGCTATGCTGAATTTATAGATTGGTTTAAATAGTAGTAGTAGTAGTAGCAGTAGTAGTAGTACTTGTAGTATTAGTAGTAGTAGTAGTAGTAGTTGTTGTTGTTGTTGCTGTTTTTGTTTTTGTTGTTGTTGGTGGTGTTGTTGTTGCTGTTGTTGTTGTTGTTGTTGTTACTGCTGCTGCAATGATGCTTCTTAATAAAAAATTTCAGAAACAACCAAATATAATTTTGTTTAAAGATGATGAAAATACACAGTCATTATACATCAAAACGAACATTAGAGCACGGCACGGCCGAAAATAACAAATGATTTTAACAATATCATAGACACAAGCACGCCGAAAATTGCATAAAATTTGGGGAATTCAAAAATGTTTTAGCAAGATGATTGAAAAACAAACGTATATATTTACTGCACATAATTAAAAATACGGTTTCGTTAAAATCATATTTGCGGTTCCTGTACAATAGATAACCCAACCATGGGGGTTAAAAAAAAAGTTGTGTAACTATTTTTTTTACTTAATTTTTCTTTTTAATGCGATTCTAGGTTAACGAATTTAATCCCTGGAGGGATTAATTCGTTATTCTCCAGGGACTAATTATCTCCAGGGATTAATTCGTTATTCTTGTCCAGCTCGCTTGCACCTTTGCGTTTAATTGCATTATAATTCTAGGTTGTTTGTTTCTTTTATCGCACACGTGTTCTAACCTATAAATCTAAGATTCCGTTTTTTCGGAGTTCATTTTTCGCTTAAAATTCGGGGTTTATCGAAGTATATTTTTGTTAGATCGCCATTTTTTTTTTAATTCGGAGTTTATTTTATTGTGTTATAATTTTTTTTTAATTCAAAAACAAAACAAATAAAGTTCGTACCTTGAACCGTTGTCCTGAAGGAACCTCGACGAGATTAAAGGCCAAATCCTTTTGTCAGTAGTTCGAGACTTCAAAGGAAGCTGAAGTTGCATCTCCTAAGGACCACTGATATTTTGCTCTTATAAACTTTGTATGTGAAACACCGTATTTTTTGCTTCTTATTTTGTTGTTGTGACCTCAAAATTCTGAGTTTTCCGAATAAACCCCAAAACACAACACCCTACGTATAACGAATTGAAAAAAAAAAAAAAAAACATAAATGCACGAGTAAGTGCCAAGCTAATTATTAACGTATGTTTATGCATTTCAATGCCAAAATCCTTCGCCATAATAATGTCGCAATTTAAGGAAATGAAAGCAGCGGGCGCGAAATATTAGCGATAATAATATTGATCATCATAATCTTTAATTACATATTACGCACGAACTCGCGAAGGACGCTGGGCTAGATCCAAATCTTATATCCCTTTCTCAGGACAGTTATTAGCGCCCCAGAACGTGTGCTACAACAAAATTACCATCACTGAAGCAACGACACAATAAAACTACTACGCGGAAAACCTTCGCACAGTTCTCAGTGTTTCCCATCCAAAAACTGTCCTCAAAATGAACGAGCGGAATAAAGGCTCGCTACATCGTACCAAGAGGTTATAATTTCGTAGCTCTTTTGTTGCAATGGGCCCCCGCTGCAGAGATGAACGCAGCGGAGGTGACCGCATCCTTGGGGCGCAGGCTGTGAATGGGCCGGCGGAAGGCCTCGGCTTCTTTCAACGCAGCAGCCGCTACCACGACAAG